GCCCCCGAACCCTGCCCTGCGTGCGAGGCAGTGACACACCTGGGTGTTGGCTCCCTGACCGTCACGTGCCTGTTGCGGTGATTGAGTTGTGTGCGTGGACTCCCGCCCCTTTGCCCCACGCTCTCCTTTGCGGGGGTGGGGCGCTCCAGCAGCACCCCGCACACGTCTGACCTGGTAGGTTGGATAGCACCCGCCTTTTCCCTCGCTGCTTCCCGCGGCGGCTGTTCCGTGACATCAGGGCTCTCTCTTCTCATCTCCGCTCCAGCGTGACAGGCAGCGACAACGACCTTTCATGCCACATTCTCTCGGTTGACATGAGCCACATGGTTTCTGTGCCCCATCGGCGCACAGCCCCGCGAGGTCGGGCTCGTGCTGGTCCCTGCGTTTGAGAACGGCCGGGTGCCTCCGGGCTACCGATGGTCCTGGACAAGCCTCTGTGCAGCGCGCCCCCTGTGATGCCTTGAAGATGAGTGTGACTTGTACTTCCGTGTCCGAAACGCTTGAGCGCGGACGAAGCCTGCAGGGCCAGCAGCCCTGAGTATGGAGAGAGTCCCTTGGCCAAGGGCAAGGGCTGGGGATACGCTCAGCTGCTCGCCCAGTGCTGACTCTGCAGGGTCATGTGCCCTCTGCCCTGTTCCTTCCGGAACATCCTGGTTCCCTGGAAGGCATTTCACCATTGGGACAGGCAGGTTCTCTTTGTCTTTGACTGCTTTCTTTCTTTCTTTCTTTCTTTTTTTCTTTCTTTCTTTCTTTCTTTCTTTCTTTCTTTCTTTCTTTCTTTCTTTCTATGTGTATTTATTTATTTATTTTTGAGATAGCGCGAGCTGGGGAGGGACAGAGAGAGGCGGGGGGACAGAGGATCCGAAGCAGACTCCACGCTGTCAGCACAGAGCCCAACTCAGGGCTCAAATCCATGAACCGTGAGATCACGACCTGAGCCAAAGTTGGACGCCTAACCGACTGAGCCCCCCAGGTGCCCCTGAGGCAGGTTCCCTTTCTGACTGGGAACCTGACTGGCCAGGTTCCCTTTCTGACTGCCAGCTTGGGCCCCGTTGCCTTCCCATTGCCTCTCGGCCGATGTGATGTGTCTGTGACATCCAGGACTTGCCAGTGGGCCCCACCAGGCACTGGGGGCTGAAGCCCTCTTGTGATTTAAGGGGGGATTTAAGCACACGGAGCTGGCAGCCAGCAGACTAAGACGTGGGCGTCCTGTGCCCCGGCTTGCCTCTTGCTGGGGAACTTTCTGGTTTGACCCCCTCATGGATGTGTGGGCATCATGCTCCTACATGGGGAGACCCGGGGCTTCTCAGACTCCCCCAAGGCCGTCCCCACCAAGCCTGTGCTCAGGGCGGCTTGTCTGTGGCTCCTTATCCCTGAGCTTGGCTGGACGGCGGCTCGGCCTTGCGTGTATGAGCGAGGGGACACTGCCGGTCTTGTAGTTACGTTGCCGGTTGTCAGAACGCTGTTTCAAGGCACTTGTGAGCTCCCACCTGGGTCCCGCGGATCTGGAGTTGATCTCAGTCCTCGATTATTAACTTGGCCTATGCACAGCATCAAGTTGAATCAGAACTGAAAATAGCCTCTTAATGGGCCGGTTTCAAATGACTGTTTTTACCTGTCTTTTGTCTTATTTCACGTCTTTGCGGAGCACCAAGAGGAGTCAGGTGCAGCCGGTCACTGTTCCCTTGAACCCTTGAGCTACTGACGGGGGTTCCCGCGCTGGGCCGGCCCAGCCTCCTACCCGCTCCCTCTGTGACTCATGCGCACGCTCAGACTGAACTACGAGATGAGAGCAGAAACCGCACGCTCGTGCGGGAGGGAAGTGGGCTTGGCGCACGCCGCCTCCGAAGACAGCGTCCACCGCCGTCCCCGGGAAGTGAGGTTTCCTTCAGGTCGTGGGGTCAAAGCGGAAAGGACGCGGTGGGAGGCCAGGTGTGACGTGAGCCCACGGGCGCCCTCCCCGGCGTGGCCCCGGCTCACCATGCCGCCTGCGTGAGCGCCACGTGCGTCAGCTCTCGGCACATCCTGAAGACACCGTGTTTCTGCATTTCCTTTGGAAGAGGCGCCTCCTGGCCCTGCGGGGTCCGGGGACGGCTCCCCTCGCGGCCCCTCCCCTGGTCATCGTCCCCTCCGTCAGGCCGCGGGGACGGCCACCCTGCGTGCAGAATCGCGAGGCTGCGTGGTCTCGGGAGTCAGGGGTTGTCCACGAGCACTGGGTGCCGGCTGCCGTTTGCTGTTTAGGAACAGGTCAGGAGCAGAGGGTGGCCCCGGGCAGGACTGAGGGGCCGAGTGCGTTTTGGGGCAAAGGCCGGGCTCTGAAGGTGCTTCAGGGCTGGGCCAGGGAGTCGGGTGTTAGCCTGTGGGTGGTCAGGAGCCTGGAGCCCTGACCTGGGCCCCCCTGCTGTCATCTGCGCCCTGAAGGGACGACTTGCATGGGGCTCCGGTGGGACCCACGGGCAAGGTCCGCGAGCCGGGGGTCTGGCCTGTAGGGGGGGAGGGGGAGCCACTGCGGGGCACCCCGGCCGTTATCGGAGCCCCGCTGGCGTCTGGCGGGGCAGCGCTGGGGGAGCGGGCCCCACCTCCGGGTGGCGGGGGCTCCCCCACACCCGCGGCACATCTGGCTGCTGTGATCCGGATGGAAGTGCTTGCCGGTAATTTAGCTCATTCAGAAGTGCCGTCTCCCCGGAGCGCTGCGCTGCTGACAATTTTTCCCATTGTGTGTGGGGTTGAGTCCCCCCCCTCCCCCCGCTGCCTGCCGTGTTCTGGGATCACCCTGGGTGTCTCTTTGAAATCCAGAAACTCCTGAAAAGCTCTAAGTAGCTATTCACGAGTAAGGAAATGGCAGCGTGCCGGTTGCACGTGCGGCTCTATTTTGGGACCTACGTGACGGGCTCGTCCTGGTCCCGGGGGGCCGTGGCGGGGGCGCCATCCTGCGGGCCAGACCTCACTGTTCTGCCCTGTCTCCTTTCCCCGCAGCGCCCGTGGGCTGGAGAAGGTCCGGCAGCAGCTCCAGGAGGAGGTCCGCCAGGCCAGCAGCCAGCTGCTGGAGGAGAGGAAGAGGCGGGAGACACAGGAGGCCCTGGCCCGGAGACTCCAGAAGCGGGTCCTGCTGCTGACGAAGGTACGGGGCCGGGCGGGGGCCCGCCGTCCCGGCCTCTGCTCCCCTGGCCGGCGGCCGCCAGCCCGTCCCCACCACGTCCAGGCTTCCCGAGATCGCCGCCAGCCCGAAGGCGGTTTTAACCGCGGTGAGGAGCGTCCGGCTCCTCGGGCCGTCGGGCTCATGTGCGGCTGCCTGGGGTCCCCTCAGAAGGTGTCCGCCTCCCTGCGGAGTCGGGGCTTCGTCAGGCTGTGCCTCCGTCCCGCGATGCTCGCGGGGTTCTTGAATCACAGCAAAGACTTCTCCAGACCCCGGAGGTCCCTCTGGGACTTGGAGGGCCCAGGTGTGGGTCCCCTTCTGGACGGCCGTCCGGCGACCTAGCGCTCCCGGTGAGGGGCGGGGCGGCCGGGGCCGCACGCTGACCGGGGGTCACCCCTTCCCCGGGCCACGGGTGAGAGCAGCCTTCCCCTCCTTCAGTGACCAGATCCCGGTGGGTCTGTGGCCCGTGGTTTGGACTGAGAACTCTCACCGGGGCCGAGATGCACTGGGCCTCGTGTGTGGGGCGGGCTCTCTCTGACCGTCCTGTGCCTGCAGAGCTTCCCATGTTGGCTGGACGGAGCCCGCTGGAGCGCGGATCAGGTTAGCCCTTCTAGTGCCTGTAGTCTAGCCGGACGGGCAGGAGGGACACACGCGCACATGCCAACCGTGATGGGATTTTCGTGGGAGCGGAAGCCGCCGCTGAGCCGCGGCCCGAGGGCTCGGTTTGAGAGGGGCACTCGCAGAATTTGGCTCCATGGAAGACGGGGGGATGGGCAGGAGCGCTGGCAGAGGGAGCTGGGGCAGGAGGCACAGCCGCCGGGAGGGCACGTCCACGGCACAGCTGCCTCGGCACGTCAGGGCTGCGTGGGCTGTCTGCGCCTGACTTGCTGTGAGCGAGAGGCCAGGACGGGCTGCGGTCCGTGACGTGGGAAGCACGGGCTTTTCTGGGGTGACGGTCAGGGGACCTTAACCTGTGACCTTGGAGAAGGCGCTCGCTCCCTCTGCGTCCCCATTTTCCCATCCCCGGGACTAGCAGCGGTGCCGTGCACTGAAGCGGCCCCGGGTGCCCGCCAGACGGTCTCCGCGGGGACAGCGCTCACGAGAGTCACAGGGAGGAGACGGAGTGGAAGTTCCCGAGGCACGTCCACCCGGGCCCGCCGCACCCTCCAGCACGCCCCTGCCCGGCACCCACCCAGAGGAAGGGAATCCGGCGCATGGCGCGGACGTCTGCACCTCCCTGACGCAGCATCACTCATGGCCACGCGGCCCCGGTGCCTGTTAGCGCTGGGCGGGGGAAGGAGGCGCCAGGTAGGTGCCTGACGGGTTATTGTTGAGCCACGGGAGAGAAGGAAACCCCGCCCGTGTGTGATACCACAGGCGGGCCTGGAGGACACCGCCGAGCGACACGACACAGCGAATCTTCGGACACGGGGAGCAGGTTGGTGGCTGCCAGAGACAGGCTGGATGTGGACGAAATGGGGGTGGGGGGGCACGAGGGACGGACCTCCAGACGCGATACGAGTTCTAAAGGGAAAACATGAGCCACGGGTGCAGAGCATCCCCTCTTTGTGGGGGGCCCCGTGTCACCCGTGCCGTGGGAAAGCAGCCCCCCATCCTGGACCAGGGGTCCTGCGTGTGAGGCCGCGTGAGAGTGCTGTCGCACGTGGGCAGTGGAGTGTGCGGCCGTCTTAGGAAAGGAGGCTTTGCGAGGGTTCGTGGAGGGTGTCCGGGGTGAGGCTGGTTGGGCAGGTCGGCGGTCACCCTGGTGGAGCTTTGCCAGTGGTGGGTGTGTGTGGCTCATTCCGTCCTCCTCCAGGGCCTCGTGAACGGCGGGCCGCCGGTGGCCTGAGCCGTGGGGCACGGCCTGGAGTGCCTTGTCTGCCTCCTGCCCGTCCCGCATGTGCACCGCTCAGAACCACAGCTGGGGCACAGTGTCCCGCCTGGATGTGCGCACGGGCTGCGTCTCTGTTCCCCGTCGGTCCGGAAGGCACCTTCTCCAACCCTCCCCTGGGGACAGCCCCTTCTTACCCCAGGCTCCCGTGGCGCCTTGGCCACAGGGTGTTGTGGCTGGTCCAGCGGTCTTAGCGGGGAGCCTATGACTGCCGCTGTGCGTGCAGGGGGGCGTGTGGAGCTCCATCTTCGGGGCTCTCTGGCCAGTGTCGTGGCGAGCTCTCGCGGCTTCCCTCCCATTTCATGTCCAGCTGGGTGGGTGACTGCTGTTCCCGTGGGGCTTGCTGATGGGGTCTTACTTGGTTTCAAACCATTCGTGTTTTTATTTTTAATAAAACTTATTTTCTGGAATAGTCTGTGATTTAGACCAAAATGGTCTTGGAACGGTCGTCACTGCTCAGGGACCAGGCCTGACCAGGGCCGTTGACTGAAGTCTGTGCTGTCCTCCTGTTTGCTTCATTGCCCCTCAGCCCTTTCTCTGTCTTGGACCCCCCCCACGGTGAGTCGTCACCTCTCCTCGGGCCATGACAGTTCTCGGACTCCTTGCGTGGATGAGTCCACCGCCAGGAGTGCGGCGCGGGCGTCCCGTGGCAGGTGCTGGACGGGGGTGTGTCCGAGGCTTTCCTCCCAGGCCCCCGGGGGACGGGGCAGCCCTGCAGGGAAGGGCCCCGGCCGTAGCCTGACTTCCCCGTGTGGACGCTGGCCTTGCTTACCCGGCTGTGCCGGGTCAGCCGGGTCTCTCCCTCCACGGTGCACGGCCACACCTGGGGGCTGGGGGTCACGCCCCTCCTAGAGGGCTCAGTAGCTCCATTCTGGACTCTTCTGCGTGAGGTTCGACTCTGCTTTCCATTTATCCGTTAATTCGGACACTTAGGCATATCAGGCGGGCTCCCGGGGATGTGTTGTAGGTTTGGGTTTTACCGCCGTGCTGCTTGAATTTGTCCCGTTGGCCGCCGGGAGCTCTTTCAGTTGTCAGTGTGGGGGTGTACCCC